CGTCGACGAGAAGGAAGCGACGTGACCGACCCCGCGCCACGCGTGGGATAGCTCAAGATAGACGAAATAGGTGCAATAGCCGCGTATGATAGTAGGTTGAACTGAATCAAGCGATTGGTCGGACAAGACGCCGAAATTCTCATTCACATCAAGACGCAGTCGCTACCGCTCTTCTTCTTATACTTCCCGCTCTTGCTCTTCCCCGGCTTCGCGCCCTTCTGCGCATTGCCGCCGCCGCCGGCGGCAGCGGCGTCCTCCCTCTCCCGTTCCCGTCGCATCGTCCCGTCATGGCGATGACGCGCCTCTTCCGCGTCGCGTTCCCGCCGCTCCGCGCGCCGCCGCGCGTTCGCCTCAGCCTCCTCCGCCTCGAACTCCGCCTGAAGCGCCACGGCGAGCGCGTAGTCGCCGTCGCCGTCGGTTTGGGGCGCCGCGCCCGCGCCCGCGCGGTGGTGCTGTCCCACGGGCACGCCGACCGCGACGCCGCGCGCGTCCGGCGGCGGCGGCGGCGGCGGCGGGCGCAAAAAGTCGTCGCCCAACGCGCCGCCGCCGCCGCCGGACGATGCCAGCATCGCCGCGGCGATCCGCGCGTCCTCCTCCGTCGCCCTCCGCTGCTCCTCCGCGGGATCCAAGTGCGGCGCGAACGCCTCGAACCTCCCGTTCACGAACATCCCCGCCGCGTGCGTTACCCCCCCGCCGCCGCCGCCGCCCCCTCCACCCACTCCGTCGTCCGCAGGCGCCAACGCCTCCCACACCACGTCGCTCTCGTTGAGGTACCCTTGGTCCGTCACGAGCAGGTACAGCGCGCCGTCCTTCTTGAACACCGTGCTGAAGTGGTTGTTCCGGAAGAACACAACGAGCTCGTTCTCTTTCACGCGATCGCGAGCCGCGCGCAAGCCGTGCGGGGTGAGCTGCGACGCGGAACGCGCGAGGAAATCTTCGATCACGAGCCGCTCCGTCGTCGCGTCCATCGCCGAGGCGTCCGACCGGCCGCTCGTCGTCGCCGCCGTGATCTCGCCGCCGCCGTGGTCGTCGTCGGTTCTCTCAGGCGGAGAGTCGTGGCCCACGCGCAAGCGCGAGAGGTTCACGCCCAGGGGGTCCGAATCGTCCGCGTCTGCGTCTGGCGGCGGCGGAGGTGAGACTGCTTTCCATACGACCCCGTTCGCGTGGTGCACGCCGTTCCTTAAGGACTTTTCCGGCGGCTCCGGCGGCGCGCTCACGAGCTCGATCATCCGCTCCATGAGCTGATTGTAGCTCCTCCCCCCCACCGCCGCCCTCGCCTGCGCGTCGTCCGGATCTATCACCCACGCGTGGCACAGCGTCACGTCGAGCAGGTCGAATATCGCGAGTTGCGGCGTGAACTCAAAGTCCAGCGGGTGACGGAATCCGACGTTGACGTCGAGCCCGGTGGCGAGCGCGGGGAGCGCCGCCATCGCGTCCGAGACGTTCTGCTCCTGGTTCTTCCGCACGAGCTCGTCCGCCTCCGCGCGCTCCCGCCTCTCCGCGGCGGATTCGGCGGATTCTGCGGACGCGGACGCGGACGACGTCGCGCCGTCGGACGACGGCGAATTTGACGTCTTGTCGTTCACGTCTAAGATGCGCGCGGCGACGAGCGACATGAGCTCCGCGGTGGTCACCTCCGGGCGGTCGGACGGCCCGCTCAGGGTGAGCGCGTTCCGGAGGAGGAGGACGTTCGCGATGCCGATGAGCGGGCACGGGCCGTTCTCGTTCTGGCAGATGATGGGGCGCTCGGCGCCGAGGAAGGAGACGCGCTTCACCGCGTGTCCGCGCATCTCGTCGTCGTGGCGCGGCGGTATAGGCGGCGGCGCGGCGGACGCCATCGCCGCGCGGCGCGGCGCGGCGGCGACGGCGGCGGAGGTGGCGGCGGCGAGACCCGCGGCGAGCGACGCGAGACCTGCCCCCGTGCGGACGCGCGAGATGGAAGTGACGAGGGGGCCGGCGATCTGACATCGCGTCGCGTCGCGTCGTCCTTTCCAGTCGTGGTCTTCATCACAGCAGTTCGCCGCGCGCGAGGGGACGTCGCGCGGTCGTCGTCGTCCCTCTTCGCGCGATGGAGACGCGCGCAGCGCGCGCGCCGGCCCTCGCGTCGACGTCGCGCCGCGCGCGCGACCGCGCGAGAGACCGCGCGCGCGCGCCCGCGCGCGCCGCGCATCGCCGCGTCGTCGCCGCAGCAGACGCCGCGTCCGTCGGATCGGACGTCGTCGTCGCCGTCGTGACGACGTCGAGCTGCCCGCACTGCCGCCGCGTCAAGTCCGCGCTCGCGGACGCGTCCGTGCCGTTCGTGGAGATCGACGCGTCCTCGGAGAACGGCATCATCCTCCGCGCGTCGACGTCGCTCAGCGGCATGCGAACGGTGCCTCAGGTGTACGTCGGCGCGGTCTGCTTCGGCGGCGCGGACGACGTCGAGGAGGGTCTCCGAAGCGGCGCGTTCGCGGCGAAGGTGGCGAGCGCGAAGGACGAGGGCGCGGTTCTCCCGCCCGCGATCGCGCGCGCGATGAGGGAGAGCGCGGTCGCGGCGAAGGAGGAGAAGGCGGAGAAGGAGAAGGAGGAGGAGGAGGAGGAGGCGGAGGAGGCATCGGACGACGACGCGGAGTACGCCGCGCTGGACGCGCTCGCGACGAGGATGGCGGCCGCGCTGACCCCGCGCGACGTGTACGCGTTCGGAGGATGGCGCGCGCCGCTGACGCTCCTGCAGTGCGTCCTCGACGGCGCGACGATAACGCGATGGCTCGCGACCACCGCGGACGAAAGTACGGCGGCGTCGACGCGCGGCGGCGCCGCCGCGGAGCTCGGCGGTAAGATGATGGAGTACGGTCTGCTGACCAGCGCGAGCGCGTCGGAGGCGTTCGAGGACGACGGCGGGAAGCTGTACAGGCTCGCGGACCACGCGTGCGAGCCGCGGGCGTACCCGAAGACGACGCCGGCGCCGTTGAACGCGAGGCGGCGGCGGCGGCGCGGCGGCGGCGGCGACGGGAAAAACGCAGGCGACGCCGCCGCCGTCGCGGCGTCGCTTCGGAAGAAAATCCTCGCGCTGTACGACGCGCATCTCTCCGAGGACGGCCGATCCGTGGACTACGCGGCGATGAGAACGTCGCGCGCGTTCCGGGAGTACGTCGACGCCACGGAGGATCTGCGCTCGGTGGACCCGCGCTCCATGCGTCGCGAGGAGAAGATCGCCTTCTTCTTAAACGTCTACAACGCGCTCGTCGTGCACGTCACCGCCGTCGTCGGCGCGCCCGACGGCTTCTTCGATCGCTTGACGTACTTTGGAAGGTATAAATACGAGATCGGCGGGTGTTACTACTCCTGCGATGACATCGAGCACGGGATACTGCGAGGGAACAGGCCGGGCGCGGCGAGTCTCGGCGCGATCGTAGGAAAACCGGGGCTCTCCCGAGGCCCGTTCGACGCGACGAGCGACCCGCGCGCGCAGCACGTCGTGCTCCCCGTGGACCCGCGGATACACTTCGCGCTCGTGTGTGGCGCGAAGAGCTGCCCGCCGATACGCACGTACACGGGCGAGGGGTTGGACGCGCAGTTGGCCGCCGCCGCGGAGGCGTTTTGCGAGGGCGACGTCCAAGTCGTTTTGTCGGACGATACAGTCGCGTCGGACGCTCGTTCCTCTTCTCCGGCGAACGATCGCGTCGTCGTGCGCGTGTCCAAGATAATCGGCACGTGGTACAAGGACGACTTCGGCGACACCGACGAGGCGCGGCTGCGGACGATTTCGACGTACTTGCGGCCGGACGGCGACGCGGCGAGACGCGTGCGCGACGCGTTGGACGGCGCGAAGCGGGTGACGTTGGAGAGCCCGGAGTACGACTGGAGTTTGAACGGAACGACAACGGTCGAATGACGTGCGTTTCGTTTCGTTTCGTTCGTTTCTTTCGTTCGTCACCGCGACGCGTTATCGCTATAGGGAGGGTAGTTCTCCTTTCGTTCTATTGGTGTCATCTAAGGTCGTGTCACTTCGCGCCGCGAGCGAGCGTTAAGCCTTGCCGCGGCTTTTTCGCCGCCGGCGACCCCGCGGGCGTCCCCCCCAGCCCCGGCGGCTCTCTCTTCGTCTCGCCGCCGCCGCCGTTCCCCCCACCCTCTCCTTCGCCCCCATCGTCGTCGCCGCGAGTCTTCGCCGCGCCGTAGAACGCCAGAGTCTCCTCATCCGCGCCCATGACGAGCCCCCGCGCGCGGTTCTCGTGCGCCTCGACGCGCGCTTCGAGTTCCGCGATCGCCGCCGCCGCCTCCGCGCGCGCTCTTCGCGCGTCGGCGCACATCGACGGCTTCAGCGGGCTGCTCCCCGCGAGCCCGCCGACGCGCGCGCTCACGCCGGCGATCTTGACGCTCTCCCCGTCGGACGCGAAGGACGCGTCGTAGAGCGACAGCATCGAGCGAAGCGCCCGCAGCGCTCTGCGGTCGCCTTCGACGGCGCGTTCTAATTCCTCGTTCCGAGCCGCGATCGTGCGGGTCATCACGACGAGCGCTTTGCCCCACGAGGCCATCCCACCATCGAACCGCGTGCCGTACACGCACCCGCCGGTCGGTGGGAATCGGAGCGTCGCTTTCGTGTCCTCTTTCTCGTCCAGCACCGCGGTCACGAGCAACCCGCAGGGAAGCCCGTATTCGTTTTCGTCGTCGTCCAAATCTAATCGTACCGTCTCGAAAGTCGCCGCTCGGAGGGTCTTGCGCAGGAGCACGAGCGTCTCCTCCACGGTCAAGCTCAGGGCCTGGTCCTCAGCGACGTGATCGAGGAGTTTGTCCATCGAGAACGTGCGATACAGCAGAATCTCAATGCCCGCGGGAACAGGCTTTAGGGTGAGCGTGGACGGATGCCAGATCCGAAATTCGCACGTGTAGCTCTTCGGCGAGGCTCGCCATCGGCGAGTGGAGTCCGCCTCCTTGACATCGGGGTAAACGAGGATGTCGTAGAATTCTCGCGCCATATCGGCGCCCCAACCGATAGGGATGGCGCCGCATTCGCGCCAACAGTACGCGTACTCCGCCTCGTAGCGCATCGAGAACTGAATAACGCATCGAGACGAACGCGAACGTCGTGGTTGTTTCTTTTTCACTCCGTCGCGCCCCGATGGCGTCCTCCATCCCCTACGACGACGACAACGTCTTCAAGAAGATCATCGAGGGCGTCATCCCGTGCTACAAGATCTTCGAGACGGAGCACGCGCTCGCGTTCTTAGACGCGTTCCCCATGGCGCCCGGGCACGCGCTCCTCGTCCCGAAGACGACGGGCGCCGCGACGATGATGGACCTCCCCGAAGACGTCGCCGCGAACGTCCTCAAGGAGCTCCCGCGGCTCGCGAGGGCGGTGAAGGCCGCGACCGGGTGCGACGGCGTGAACGTCGTTCAGAACAACGGCGCGACCGCGGGGCAGGTCGTGTTCCACCTCCACGTGCACGTGATACCGCGGTGGGAGAAGGACGGCGTGGTGCGACTGGGGAAGAGCGGGGAGGCGATAGGGAAGGACGCCGCGGACGCGATGGTCGCGAAGATGAAAGCCGCCATCGGCGAGGCGTAGTAACGCACGAAATGTGACCGTCGTATATGATATGTTATATATACGCGACACCTGTAGTTTATATGCTCACATCGACTTCGTCGTCGTCGTCGTCGTCGTCGTCGTCGTCGATGACGTCTACTACGCTACGCGCGAAGTCTGTTCGCTCGTTCAGTCCCCGAACGACGACGGCGGCGTGATCGAAGCCGCCGCCCACGCGTCGTCGCCGTACGCCCGCATCTCCTCCAACGCCCTCAGTGACAAATCCTCCACGACGTCGTCCACGCCGCCGCAGGACGAGTACGCTCTGTACGCTAAATCGGACGCGAAGCGCAACGCCCAGAGCTCGCTCGACCCGCGCACCGGCGTCGGCGGCTTCCACGCCGCCGCGCGTTTTTTCGACACTTCTCCGACACCTTCCGACATGTTTCCGACACCACATTCTTCTCGTCCGACACCTTCTTCATCTTCTCTCGCGCGCGTCGCCGCCCACATCTCGTTCGAGCGTCTCAGCGCCGCGCGCAGGACGCGCCCGGTCATCGCTACCGCAGCCTCCTTCAGCCGCGAGATCTCGTCCCGGTAAAACGGCACCCCGGCGGCGGCGAACCTCGCGCTCGACTCCGCCTCGTTTCGCTCCACGCCGCGCACGATCTCCGCGCACTTCGTCAACGCCTTCTCCGCGCGTCGCATGTCCCTCGGCCGCCGCGGGCTGTCGTGACTATCCCTAGACGGCGCGACGTTCTCTTTCTCTGTATCCTCCGCGACGAAGAGCCGGTCCAACGCCGCGCGCGTCGACGCCAACGCGTCGCGATCGTTCGTCGCCGCGCGCAGGCACTCCAACCGGTGCGTCGGGAACTGCAGAAGCTCGAGCACGCCGCGCTCGTCGCTCAGGCGCGCGAGGACGCGCTCCGCGTGCGCGCGAAGCGCCGCGAGCTCCGACGCGTCGGACGTGCCGTCGAGCGCTTCGAGCTTCGCGCGGAGCTCGTGGATCTCGCGCGCATGTTCCTTCGCCTCTCGCTCGACGGCGCGGAGAAACGGGCTCTTCGCTTTGAGCTCGCGAAGGACGTCCTCCGCGGCCGCGACCGCCGCGCGGTTGATCTTCATCTTCGGTGTTGATGACGTGGATGATGCTGACGTGTATGTGTACGCTGACGTGGATGATGACGTGGACGCCGCCGAGCGCGACCGCTCCCGCTCCGCGGCGTTTCTCTCGCGCAACGGCGCGTTGGCGCGCGCGGATATCGTCCGTCTGACCTCACTCATCGCCCTGCTGCGTCGCAGCGTCGACGGCGGCGTCGCCGGCACCGGCACCTGGGTCGACGGCGATGCGTTTGATCGCGCGGGCGCGACGAGCGGCGACAGCGCGGTGCGTCCGCGCGTCGGCGGCGGCGGCGGCGGCGGCGGCGGCGCGAACGAGAGATGCTTCTTCTCCGCGGGCGAGCGCGGCGGCGACGGCGACGGCGACGGCGACGCGCTGCGCCGCGACAGTCCTTCCATCAAACCGGCGGTGCCCCACGACGGCGACGCCGCGGCCGGTGATCGCCACGGCGGCGGCGTGAGCGGCGTGAGCGGCGTCGGATGAGAAGAAGAAGAAGACGCGCGGGCGTCTTCGAACAGCGGCGAGTCGTAGACGGCGGACCACCGCGCCGCGTCCTCCGCGCGATGCGCCTCCGCGGGCGTCGGCGAGACGCGCGCGGCGCTCGGCGACGCCGCGAAGACGCGCGTCGTCGATCTCTTCGTCTTCGTCTTCGTCTTCGTCTTCGCTCTCGCGAGGACGCGCGCGAGGACGAGCGCGGCGCACGCCGCGGCGACGCGCGCGAGCGTTCGCGCGAGGAGGAAGAGCGCGCGAGAGAACGACGACGAGACGTCGTCGTCTCCCCGCGCGCACTCGCCCTCGAGGGCCGCGACGACCGCGGCGGGGTCCGTCTCGATCGCCCGCGTCGCTCCGTTGAACATGGACGCGGTCGCGACGACGTTCGCGAGCGCGACCGCGAGCCCGATGCTCCGCAGTTCCCTCGCGCGCGTCATCCGCGCCCACGCGTCGGAGCCGCGGATGGCGCTGTCGAGACTTCCGTCACGCGCGACGTCTCGCCACGCGGCGACGCGCGCGTCGAAGGCGTCGGGGGACATCGCGTACGCGGCGCCGTCGCCGAACGGCGGCGGCGCGGGGGGGACGTCCGCGTCGGGGTCGAACATCTCGCGCGCGGCGACGACGACGGCGGCGGGAGGCGCGCGCGCCGTCGTTGTTGCCGTTGACGCGACAGCTGTCGTCGCTCTCGTTCATCATTGAGGGTCGTTCCTAAAAAAAGTTCACCGGTCAGTTGAAAGGGGAAGCGATCAAATGTTGAAACCGGGCGATGGGTGAAAAACTTTTGTATAGAACGCTTCTCAGATCATCGATCGACGACGCATAACTTGGGCGAAACCGCCCCAGTTCGCCGCGCGCGCGCCGACCCGCCGCGACGATGACCGGCGCGGACGCGGACGACGACGACCACGTCGAGATCGTGACGTTCACGATCGAAGAGGCGGTGCGTCGTCGCGCTCCCCGCGAGGCCCCCCGCGCCTCCGTCGCGCTCGGCTCCGCTTCGGCGTCGGAGTATATCGTCGTCGTCGTCGCGTTCTCCCAGAAGAATCAATCGACCGACGACTTGGCACCTTCTCCGTCCTCCTCCCGTCTCATCACGCGCCTCCCCGTCTCCCACCCACCCCTCCGCCGCAGTACGTCTACGCGATTCCCCCCACGGCGACGCACGCGGGTCACCGAGCGGACAGCTGGGACGTCGAGAAGTGGCTCCGAGCGGTGCGCGTCAAAGTCACCAGTCGCGGCTCGCGAGCGTCGATAAAATTGCTCGACGTCGAGTCCGGCGAGCTCTTCGCGGAGTGTCCGCTGCCGAAAGACGCGAAGGTCGCGACCGTCGTGGAGCCCGTCATCGACAGCTCGAGGTACTTCGTCCTGCGCGTGGAGGACGAGGCGACGCGGCGGCACGCGTTCTTGGGGTTGGGGTTTCGAGAGCGCGACGCCGCGAGCGATTTTAAGCTCGCGGTGCAAGAGCAGCAGCAGCAGAGGGATCGAGAGAGGACCGCGGCGGCGCTCGCGGAGGAGCGCGAGAGAGCCGTCGCGGCCGCGGCCGCGGGCGGCGGTAACGGCGGTGACGGCGGCGGCCCGCCGAGGCTGCACGATTACTCCTTGAAAGGGACGATCAACATCAACGTGTCGTCGAAGCTCGTCGGACGCGAACCGCACGCGAAGAGAGTCGCGGGGGGCGCGGCGGCGACCGCGGCGACCGCGACGATCGCGCCGCCGCCGCCGGGCGCGCCGATCCCGGTGCTCGCGCCGCCGCCGGGGGGGTTCCCGCCGCACATCGAAAACCGGGTCGCTGGGATGATACGGTCGCCGACCGCGGGCGCGGGGATGGGCGCGGCGCCGTCGCCGGCGAGCATGAGCGTGACGCCGCCGCCGCCGCCGCCGCCGCCGCCGCCGGCGGACGACGCGGGCGGGGGGTGGGCGACGTTCGACGACCCGCCGGCGTCGAACGCGGGCGGGGGCGACGACTGGGCGGACTTCCAGAGCTGACGCGCGTTGTGATAACGATGAAAAGGGTTTATGCGTACACGTCGTACTCTTAAATTAAATGCAAGGGACCGCGCGTTGGTCCGTGAGTGAAAAAATTGGTTGGAGCTAGAATAAAGACTAAAATAAGCGAGCGATGGCAGCGCAGCAACACCCACGGGACCGCGAGGTCGAGTCCGAGCGAACTCGGTGCTCCCCCTCGTGATTGATGATGTGTGGCATGTCTCGCGTCGTCGTCCACGTCGACGTCCCGATGTTGACGCGTGGTGATTGTCATCCGTCCGTCCGTCGACGCGCGCGTCGTCGTCTTCAACAGAACGTGTATTTCCTCGAAAGACGACGCCGCGACGCGACGCCGCGCGCGGCTCCGCGTTCATTGGCGTTGGTTCCTGCCATGAATATGGTATTGACTAACGTGTGTTCAACGCGCGCTTATTACGCCTTCGTTTTCTTCTCCTTCGCCTCGCCGATGTACTCGTCGAGGTCCCAGTCGGAGTCCGTGCTGAGGTCCTGGCCCTCGGCGAGCTTGTTCGCGCGAGACTTGGCGCGCGCCTTGATCTCCTTTCGCGAGAGCTTCTTCTTCGGCCCCTTCACCTTGACGATGTTCCCGAGCGCGTCGACGACATCCTCCGCGATGAGCGGATCCTGATTGATCGCCTCGCCCTTGCCCTTCTTGCCTTGGCCCCACTTGTTGCCCTCGACGTACACGACGCCGTCGCCGGGGACGTTCCACGTCTCCTCCTTGAGCGCGTCTGCGAATTCGCAGTTGTGGGTGATGAGGAGGACGCCGCCTTCAAACTCCTTCACCGCCATCGCGAGCGCGCCGAGGGCGTCGCGGTCGAGGTAGTTGGTCGGCTCGTCCATGACGACGATGTGCGGCTGCTGCCACATCGCGGCGCCGAGCACGAGCTTGACCTTTTGGCCGCCGGAGAGACCTTTGATTCGGTTGTGGGTGCCGAACTCGGCGTCGAGGCCGAAATCGATGAGGTGCTTCTCGACGTTGGCCTGCGTGAGCGGGCGCGCGTAGAGACCCGCGCGCGCAGCCTCGCGCTCGTCGATGCGGGTCATGTACTTGGCGAAGCCAAACTTCTCGAGCTTCTCCTTCTCGACCCAGGAGGACGCGTCCATGGACATCCCCTTCCACTGCACCTCGTACTCGTACTTGGACTTCTTCTGGCGGCGGGACAAAATCTTCTCGACGACGAGCTTGAGCAACGTCTTGCTGCCGTCCTCGTTCTCTTGCTCGATCGGAATCTTCTCCTTCATGAGCCGCTCCTCCTCCTCGGTGTACTGCGCGGTCACCTTCGTGAGGTTCTCCTTGTCCTCGCCCGTCGCGAAGCGCCACCGAATGTACTCGTTCGGCGTCTTCTCGAGGTGCTGCTCGACGTGGTGAAACGCGTGCTGCGCGACGTACGCGTAACGCATGTTGGGGTGCTTCCACACCGTCCCCGCGTCGGGTTCCGCCTCGCCGGTGAGGAGCTTGATGAACGTGGACTTGCCCGCGCCGTTCGGGCCGAGGCACGCGACGCGCGAGGAGAGGGACAGCTGGATCGTGCCGGACTTGATGATCTGGCGGTCGGTGCCCGGGTAGGTAAACGCGCAGCCCGTCGCCTTGACGATGGCTTTGTCCTTGTTCTTGACGCCTTCGAGGAAGCCGGGCGTGGGGAAGATGAACTTGAGCTCGTCGTTGCTGAGCTCGGTGTACTTCTTCGCCGCGGGGCACTGCCTGATGAACTCCGTGAGGTTGCCCTTGTACGTCACGAGCTTGCGCGTCTCGTAGTGGATGATGTGCGTGCACACGCGGTCGAGGAAGCCAGAGTCGTGCGAGACGATCATGGAGGACACCGTCGTCTGCGAGCAGAGGTAATCCTCGAGCCACGCGACGTTCTTCACGTCGAGGTGGTTCGTGGGCTCGTCGAGGAGGAGGATGTCCGCCTTCATGAAGATCGCGCGCGCGAGCGCGAGCTTCATCTTCCAGCCGCCGGAGAGCGCGACGACGGGACCGGTGATCATGCGTTCGGTGAACTGAAACGACAGCAGCGTGCTCGTGACATCCTCCGCGGTGACGCCGTGGCCCTTGATGACGTCGTCGTCGAGCACAAACTCGACGACGGTCATGTCGTGCTGGTCGCCCTGGATGTCGTGCTCGACGTACACCGTGCGAAGCTCCTCGGGGGGCGGGAAACCCTCGACCTGGCCGTTGTTGATGGCCTTCATGAGCGTCGACTTGCCGCAGCCGTTGGGACCGCACAAGCCGTAACGCTTCCCCTTCTTCATGTGCAGCGTCGCGTTGTTCAGGAGGATGAGCGCGCCGTACGCGAGGGAGAAGTCGCACTTGCAGAGGTCCTCGCCCTCCTCGTCCTCGACGATGAAGACCTTCTTGGACGCCTCGTAGGCAGCCTCAGCCTTCTCGACGAGCGCCTTGGTCGCCTCCGCGGCGGCGTCGAAAAAGAGCGCGAAGTACGGCTCGGCGCACGACTTCTTCCACGTCGGGAGGTCAAAGTTCTTCGCGAGGAGCGCGTTCGTGGCGAGCGTGCAGATGTACTCAAAGTACGGTTCAACCTCCGGGGTCTTGAGGAACGCCGTGATGTCCGCCTCGGACGCGCCCGTCATCTCGGTCATCATCTCGGTGAGCTGCGCGCGAACGGTGGACTCGTCGGTGCGCTTCGACTCGGAGTTTTCGTCGACGACGGCGTCCGAGGACTCGCCGGCGGCGATGAGCAGCGTCTTGTACGCGCGCGTGCACACCTGACGGCACTCCGGGTCCGCGACCTCGTCCATCGCGCGCTTCAGGAGCGGCAGGAGCTTGGGAAGGAACGGCGCCGCGTCCATGGGGTCCTCGACGAGCTTGCACATGTTGTCGATGATGACCGCGGATTTACGCTTGATCGCGGTGACCTGCTGGAAGAAGAGACCGCGCTGCAGGAGCGGGCCCATGATCGAGAGCGTCGGCGCCTCCACCTGCTGCACGAACGTCGTCGCCGCGAGCTTGTGCACGCACTCCGGGACCTCGTCCACCTTGTGGATGCACTCGATGAGCGTCGGGATGAACGGGTCGATGTCGATGTTGCCGACGCACGTGCCAACCTTGGCCATCGTGTCCGTGGACTTCTCCTTCACCTCGTCGCGCATGTCCACCATCACCTGCGCGAGCTCCGGGATGATCTCCGGGAGGCACGCGGCGACAGCCTTCGGGTTGCGCGCCACGAAGTCGTCGACGAGCCACAGCGCCGCCATCTTGGATTGCCAGAACTGCGACTGGAAGCCAGTGAAGATGGGCTTGAGGCACGCGCGGACCGCGAACTCGGAGAGCTTCGCCGGGAACGACTTCATCGCCTCGTCCGCAGCCTCGCGGACGTTCTTGGACTTGTTATCGCCCGCGAGCGTGATCGCGATGGTGAGGAGCTCGACGCACGCGGGCTCGTCCGCCGTCGTCGCGGCGTCGACGAGCTCCTTGATCTTCTTAGCCGCCGCGACGCGCGCGTCCTCGTCCTTCTTCTTGAGCGAGTCCTCGAGGAGGGACGCGACGATCGTCTTGGTGATCGCCGGCGCCGAGGGGGTCTTGCATTTCGTGGGAGCCATTGTAGCTGCGGGGTGGGTGGGGTTGGGGGTGGGGGTGGGGGTATGGATGGACGGAGGGGTCAGGGCTTCGGTTCCCGGCGCGCGATCATCGATTGTTACTGGATGACTCGACAGGAGATAAAAAGACTTCACGCGCGCGCCGCAGACTCGAACGACGAGCGGTCGCGCGCGCGCGGGGGCGCCGCGCGCGCGACGCGTCGCGCGAACGCGACGGCGACGCACGGGAACGCGCGGGACGAGCGACGCGAGTCGATTCGCCGCCGCGGATTTCGAGGCGGCGGCGCGCGCGACCGCGCGCGCGACCTCCCTCCCGCCGCCGCGGCGCGCGAGGAATGATGTCTTCGCGTGGACCGCAGGATGCCGCGCGTGGTCGGCGCGCGCGGTAACCGCGCCGCGACGCGCGCGCGAACGCGCGAACGCGTCGCCGCGCGCGGAGAATCGCCGCGAGCGACCATCGCGCGCGCGATTCGCGCGCGGAGACGCGCGGAGACGCGTCGCGCGTCGCGCCGCGCGGCCGTCCGCGCGTCCCCCTCGGCGGCTCCGCGTAACGTCGTCGTACGCGCGCGATGCGATGGTTTTGATTTCGCGCGACGGCGGCGGCGTCGGAAACGCGCGCGTGGAGACGCGCGCGAGCGCGCGAGCGAGCGGGCTGGGCGAGGAGAGCGTGCGCGCACCTGTCGAGTTCGTCGGCAGCCGAAAGGCTTGCGGGTACGCGTGTGCGTGTGCGTGGAAAGAGACGGAGCGTGCGCGCAGCTGTCTCGTCTTGAAGAGCGTTTCGCGCCGCCCGCCGCAAAATCGACGGCTCAGGACGCGTTCCGGCAATCTTTTCCCGCCGACCGACGGCTGGCGAGACGCGGGCGGATTTCCGGACTGGTTCGCGGTACGAGTGTACGCTACTCCGTACTACGTCGTGTGTATTCGCCGTTAACTCCTAAATCACGGTCTAATGAAAACCGAAACGGCCAGAGAACCAAAAAAATTCGCAGCAGAAAATGGTTCGGGCAAAAGCTCCGCAAGCATAGAAGTTCCTCCCAGTTTCGACCTGAAAAGTCCTCTCCCCGTCCCGTTCCGTGCCGCGTTCGCCCCGAGCGCGCCGGGGCACCCGCGGAGACCCTTCCTCTGGCGAACGCGCGCGGAGCCGCGGCGAGAGCGCGTCGCGCGACGCCGCGGCGGCGTCGGCGCCGCCGCCGCCGCCGCCAACCTTCCGGAAGGATTGCCAAAGACGGGTTCGTATTCCATCTTTCACCCTCCGCCGCCGACGGCGACGCCGCCGGTACATGGCGATTCGCCTCGCCGCGCGCGCCGCCGCGGCGCCCCCGCGCGCGCGTCGCGCGTCGACGCGACGGACGAACGCGCGACGAAGAGACGTTTAAACTTTCAAAACGTCCAGGGTCTCCTCGCGAATTGTCGTCGCGTCCGAGAGACCTCGGTCCGGTCGGCGGCGTCGGCGCCGCGGCGGCGGCGGCGCGCGTCATCGCCGTCGCCGCCGCCGCCGCCGCCGCCCGCCCGTCCGTCCGTCGTCGTCGTCGTCGTCCTCGCGCCCCCACCGCATCAGCATCACACGAACCCCGTCCTCGCGCGTTCCTCCGGCGTCTTCAGCGCGTACATCACGAGCAGAAAGAAGCTCGCGCTTAGCACCGCATTTTCGAGGTCCCCCCCCGTGCTTTGCAACGCGATGGCGCATAGCGACGCGAACTTGAACCAGTCGCGGTTGAACATCCTCGTGAGTCGCTCTGGGATCTCCAGCGCGTTGCCGCTGAACATGCCTTGGTAGATCCCGAGGAACGCGAAAATGACGGGGATCTGCAGGAGCGGCTCCACCTTGGCGCTGACGACGCCGAGCCACTTGGCGTCGTCGTCGTCGGCGCCGCCGAAGACGCGCATCGGCAGGCGCATCGCTCGGATCAGATGCGGCTTGGCGCGCGTCGCGAGGACGCCGAGCGCGGAGTTTGGAAAGTAGACCTTCGAGACGAGGAGCGTCAGCGCGAGGAGGAGGACGAGCGCGGGCGCGTGGCGTTTCAGCGGGCGGGTCGACCGCGTTGGCGCGGCGGCGCGCGTCTTCCCCGCCGGAGATCGCGTCCTCTTGGTTTTCGTCGTCGCGTTATCATTCGTCGTCGTCGTCGCGCCTTCGGACGGGCCCGACGCTCGCTCCAGGCGCGCGAGGAGCTCGGCTTTGTTCCCGGTCGCGTCCAGGCCTTTCGCGCGGAGCGCGTCGCGGAGCTGCGCGACGGTCGTCCTGGACGACATCGCGCGGCGCGATTCGTTCGTTCGTCGGCGAAGGGCCAACGCGCGTGCGGGCGCGCGTCGTGGTGTGGCGCATTCTTCCTCCTGGTCATCACGGCGTCCAACGGTTTCCTGACCTCCTGACTGGTGCGCGTACGTTTCGCGCGCGTACTTTCGTACGCGTACAACGAGGAGATTTTTTCTGCGGCCGACGCGACGACGTCACTTTTCGCGGGGGGACGCGCCCGGGCACTGCATCGCGCGCGTCGCGACCGCGTCCGCGCTCCACTCGCGCGCGTCCACCGCAGATCGTCGCGCTCACGCGTCGATCTCGTCGCGCGAACGAACCCGCGCGCTTTCGAAGCCTTCAGATCGACCCGCGCGGCCCCCCGCGGCGCGCCCGCGCGATATTTTAAGAACCCAACGCGCTTCTTTAATCGGCGACTCTTCGAGGGCGTCCGTCGACGACGACGCGATGTTGGCTGCGTTCGCGAAGCGCGCGGCCGGGATCGCCTCCCGCGCGTCCGCGAGCTCCCTCGCCTCCGCGCGGTCGTCCGCGCAGTTCGACGTCGCGCGCGTCGTGACCACGTCCGCGCCCGCGGCCGCGGCCGCGGAAGCCGCCGCGTCTTCCGCGTCGTCGAAACCTAGCAACCTCCAGGAGTTTCAGATCTACCGATGGGACCCGGAGACGGGCGGGAAGCCGCGGTACCAAACGTACAAGGTGGACACGAACGCGTGCGGCCCGATGATGCTCGACGTCCTCTTCAAGATCAAGGACGAGCAGGACAACTCTCTGTCCTTCCGTCGCTCGTGCCGCGAAGGCATCTGCGGGTCGTGCGCGATGAACATCGACGGCGTGAACACGTGAGTCTGCTTCCCATACGACCCCGTTCGCGTGGTGCACGCCGATCCTTAAGGACTTTTCTCGTCGTCACTCTTCACCCGCGCTTCCCTTTCAACGTTTCACCGGTAAGACGTTCGACTGACCGATCGCTTCACCCACCCAGTCTCGCGTGCCTGTGCAAGGTTGACAAATCCTCCGACGCGCCGTTGAAGATCGCGCCGCTGCCGCACATGTTCGTAGTCCGCGACCTCGTCGTGGACATGGCGAACTTCTACGCGCAGTACAAGTCGATCGAGCCGTACTTGCAGACCGCGGACGGGAGCGAGGTGCTGAAGGGGACGGAGTATCACCAGAGCAAGGAGGACCGCGCTAAGGCGCGTTCTGTTCTATCTCACACTGGTCCCCGTACGACCGCGTTCGCGTGGTGAACGCCGATCCTTAAGGACTTTTCTTCCCGGCGTTTCTCTCCGCCCACACCTCGCTGGTTTCAATCCCGACACACCTCCCTCGACGCCTTTCAACTCCGCTTCTGACGCCTTTGAACTCCACCCCGATATCATCGCTCGTATGGAACGACCCTAAGTTGGACGGCTTGTACGAGTGCATCCTGTGCGCGTGCTGCAGCACGTCGTGCCCGTCGTACTGGTGGAACAGCGATCAGTACTTGGGCCCCGCGGTGCTCATGCAAGCGTACCGGTGGATCATCGACTCGAGGGACGGGAAGACGGAGGAGAGATTGGATAAGGTGAACGACGCGATGAAGTTGTTTCGGTGTCACACGATCATGAACTGCTCCAAGGTGTGCCCCAAGTCGTTGAACCCGGCGCACGCGATCGCCAAGGTGAAGGCCATGGTCACCGCGGCGCACTGATCGATCGACGACTGACTTGGACGATCGATGGAAGAGAAGACATATTCAGATTCTTTCGAGGCGGCGGCCTGGGGGGGGGGGGACGGGAAAAGGCGAGGCGCCGAAGGACCCCCCCCCGCGCGGCTTCCGCCTCTTTCGACGAGCGGAGCGGACCGGACCGGACGGAGAAGACTGGTCGAAAACTGGTCGTTCCTCGAGGACTTCAGGACGGAGGGAGGGACGACCGACCGACTCGCTCGTCGCGTGGTTGAAATGTGATGTGATGCGTTGTATACTGTCACAGAACGCGAACGCGCCGTCCCCCCTCTCCGTGTCTTTCTTACGTCGGAGGGCGGGCGTCCGCGCCTTTTCGCCTCGATCGATCATAATCATCACTTCTTTCCGAAGAAGTCCTTGTCCCTATCTTGCATCTCCGCGGCGGCGTCCGCGCCGCCCTTGAGCCCGAACGTGACCTGGGAGCGCGAGCGCGCGTTCGTTCGTCGGTCAGTCGGACGGCGAACCGGTCGCGTCGAAAGGAACGCGGGGGTGAAGAGCGACGAACGAACGACGGGAAAGGCGACGGGGTCAGGTCGCGCGGAGAGGGCGTCTCGTCAAACATCGCGCACCGAGAAGAGCACCGCGGCCGAGATCACGATCGCGCCGCCGATGAGCGCGAACGGCGGCGCCTCGACGTTCCCGCACGTGCCGTTGACGCCGCAGCCGTCCACGAGCTCGTTCGCGTTCGCCGCGAGCTGGTACGCGAACGACGACGGCGCGGCGTGGTCGAGGTAGTCGAGCGGGAGCGCGCGCGTCGTCGTCGCGACGGGCGCGCGCGCGTCGCGCGTCGCGCCGCGTCGAGGGGGCGTCGCGACGCGGGCCGGCGCGGACCGGCGGACCGCGGACCGGCGGACGGGCGCGAGCGCGGAGAGCGTCGTGAAGGTCGCGATGGACATCGCGGCGGCGGTGGTCGCGCGTGGGGCGCGCGCGAGGGTGCGACGCGCTCGGCTGCTGACGCGGCGTCGGTCTATCGCGAGGTTTATCGGAGCCAAAAAAAAGTTCATCGGTCGGTTGAAAGGGGACGCGATGAAATGTTGAAACCGAGCGGTGGGTGAAAAACGTTTGTTGCCCCATGCCAATGCATGATCCGCGCGTCCCGTCCGCGAGACCGCGACTGTTCGTGGGACGTTTCGGGTCGTCGCGCCGCGAGAGACTTCATCGCACGCCGCGCGCCCGACGCGCGCGCGACTCCTCTTCACGCCGCGCGCGCGAAAAACGCCCGTCCGTCGCGGTCGCCGTCGCGCCGTCGCGGTCGTCGCGGTCGTCCGCGGCGAGGCGAGCGCGCGCCCGCCGACGGATCTGAGTCCGTTCGTCCGGCCGGCCTCTCTCGTGGATGGTCGCGAGCGCGCGACGCGACCTTCGCTCTTCGCGCGCCTCCAGCACGACGCGCCTGCTGTCGATAACGAACGACGGAGAAAGGATGTTCAAGGCGCTGTTTCCCCCGGCGAAGACGTCCTCGTTCGCGCCGGGGAAGTCCCGCGGCGGCGCCGCGGGCAAGGTGCGATCTCGCCCGTGTCTCGCGTCTCGATCGTCGCGAGGGAAACGAACAACCGCCTCTGCTCCGCTCCGCTCGACGGACGGACGTTTCGTTTCGAAGTGTTGACCCGACCCGGACGCGCGCCCGCCGCCCCTCCCTCCCGCCGAGCAGAAGAACGCGAGCTCTAAACCGCCGCCGAAGACGCCGCCGCGCGACGCCGAAGACGCGCGCCACGACGCGAGCCCGCCGCCGCTCGCGCCCGCCGCGCCCCACCACCGCGCGTTGAGGGACAGCCGCGGCGGAAAAACACAGCTGTGCGCGGCGGCGGCGGCGGCGGCGAATACTCCGAAGCTTCCTCCGGACGCGTGCGCACTCGACAGGTTCGACGTCGGCCGCGTCCTCGGCACCGGATCGTTCGGGCGCGTGTCGTTCGCGAAGCACAAGCCCACGGGCGCGCTCGTCGCGATCAAGGTGTTGTCCAAGTCCGAGGTGATACGCACGCGACAGGTGGAGCACGTGCGCGCGGAGGCGAAGATCCTTCGCGACGCGTCGCATCCGTTCATCGTGAACTTTTTGGGGTCGTCGCAGGACGAAGCGTCGTTGCATTTCGTGCTCGAGTACGTCGTCGGCGGGGAGTTTTTCACGCATCTGCGGTGCGCGGGGAGGTTCTCCGACGACGCGAGTCGGTTTTACGCGAGCGAGATCGTATTGGCGTTGGAATACCTACACGGCCGCGGCGTCGCGTACAGAGACTTGAAGCCCGAAAATCTCCTCGTCGACGCGCACGGGCACCTCAAGATCACCGACTTCGGCTTCGCGAAAGAGATCGGCGACGACGGGCGGACGTACACGCTGTGCGGTACCCCGGACTACCTCGCCCCGGAGATCATAAAGAACAAAGGGCACGGGTTCGCGGTCGACTGGTGGGCGTTGGGCGTCATCGTGTTCGAGATGCTGGCCGGGTATCCGCCGTTTTACGGCGAAGACCCGATGGAGACGTATCGTAAAATTTTGGAACAGCCCGCGGAGTTCCCCGCGCACTTCACGAAACACGCGCGGGATATCATACGAAAGATGCTCCAGAAGGACGTCAGCAAGCGCATCGGTAACTTAAAGAACGGCGTGCGGGATATCACGTCGCACGCGTGGTTCGCGAGCGTGGACTGGCGCGCGACGTTGAAGAAGAAGACGACGCCGCCGATGCGGCCGAGGGTTCGGAGCGCGGACGACACGTCAAACTTTGACGATTACGGCGACGCGCCGATCACGACGAGGGACGCGTTCGAGCTCACGCCGGAGGAGCAAGAGCTGTTCGTGGATATTTAAGGTGGATGTTTTATGCACGACGCGAGGAGTAGGAGGAGGAGGAGGCGACGCGAGGTCAGACGAGGTAAAGGGAAAGCGAACGACGAAGACGACGACGACGACGACGACAGAGGGAGGAATAGGAACGGCGCGCGCGAGCGAGGAAGCTACGCGACCCGACGCGCTGCTGCTACATTTAACTCTACATTATCGACTTCCGCTTCCAATCCAGCAGCTCCATCGGGTCGACGTCGCTCAGGTCCGAGTCGGAATCGGACGCGTCGCCCTTCGCCGCCGCCGCCGCCGCCGCCGCCGCCGCGTTTTCCTCCCTCTGCTTTTTCGCCGCCTCCGCCGCCTCCCGCAACCGATCGAGTTCGTCCAGCTTCTCCTTGTACAACATCGCCTCCTCCCTCGCGCGCTCGATCGCGGCCTCCTCCGCCTCCTCCGCCTCTCTGTCGTCCACCTCGTCCACGTCCTCCGCGACGGAGGCTTCGAACTCCGCCATCGTCTCCTCCGCGGTTTTTTTCTTCCCCCGCGCCTCCCCGCGCGCCCTCGCGTCCTTCGCCGCGTCGTCGAAGAACCCTCGCGGCACCGCCCCGGCCCCCGGCGTCTTCGTCTTCTCGTCCGTCGCCGCCGCCGCCGCTTTCATCGCGGCTTCCTCCGCGGCGAGCTCCGCGTTATAGGCGGCTTTGACGTCGACGTCGCCGTCCAGGCCGTCGCGCGAGAGGTCGAGGACCGCGCGCTTCGTCGTCTCCGCGTCGTGATCCGCGACGGACGGCGGCGGGATCGACGGTCGCTTCGCCGACGCCGGCGACGCGGCGGCGGCGGCGGCGGCGTCGTCGAAGAAGCCCGGCGGGGGCGCTTTCGGAGCCGCCGCCGCGGGCGCGTCGCCGTCGAAGAACCCCGCGGGCGGGCCCCCGGCCGCGGCCGCGCGCGCGGGCGGGGGCGCCATCGCGGAGGACGCCGCCGCGGCCGCGACGGGCGCGTCCGCGCGCGCGCGCTTCGCGGGGCGAGCCGCGGCCGCGCTCCCGCGCTCGGCCGCCTTCTGCCGGAACAGCGTCTGCGCGATTCTTCGCTTGTTGTCCATCGCGCGCGGGTGGTGGAGACGCGACGACGACGACGACGACGACGACGGGATCTCGTCGCGTCGCGGACAATGCCGAAGCCTCGTCATCGACCTCGCCTCGCTCGCTTCAGCTTCCTGTCTCCGCGCGTTTCATGCCGTGAACTGCCTTTCGCGGGTTTGAATCGCTCGCGATACTTTCGTATGCGAACGCGGTCAGAGTACGAGTACGTCGCGCGCGTACCGAGGCGCGAAATTCCGCGCCCGCGCGGAAGAGCTCTCGTGTGATATTCGCCGCGACGCGCGGGTCGTCACAACGCGAGTCACGGAGAGCGCCCTCACGCGTCGCCGCGCACGGTAACGCCGCCACCGCTCTCGCGCGCATCACACGCACACACGCGTTCGGGGATTCGACGCGCGCGCGTTTCGAAGCGCGACACACCGGGGGTTGAACGGCACCGTTCGCGTCGCGATGGGTCACAGCATCAACGAGGCGTATGAGAAGCTGGAGAAAATCGGGCAGGGTACCTACGGGAAGGTGTATAAGGCGCGCGACCGCTCCACCGGAAGGCTCGTCGCGCTGAAGAAGACGCGTCTGGAGGTGCGTGTTTCATTCTCGCGCGCTTTCGCGCGTCGCGCGCGGCGTCGCCGCCCTCGGAGCGGGAGGCGGTGCCGCGGTTTTTTTTGTTCCAAGCCGCGAGCGATGGTTTTCATCGCGGGGGGTACGGCCGCGAGATGCGCGCGCTCTCGCGGCCGCGCGTCGCGCGCATCGCGGCTCTCTCGCGATGCGCGTCCGCTGCGTGTCCACGAAGGCTCCGCGAGGCTTCGTTACCCTCGAACGCGCTCGAACCGCGCCCGACGGGGTCGTTTCCGAGGAGAGGCGACGCGCGAAAAAAAAGCGCGTCCGACGCGCGCGCTCACCCGTCCTCATCCCCCTCCCCGCCTCTCCCCGCGCCATCAGATGGAGGAAGAGGGCGTCCCGTCCACGGCGCTGCGCGAGGTTTCCCTCCTGCAGATGCTCAGCGAGAGCGCGTTCATCGTCAGGTGCGCGTCGTTCGATCGTTCGATCCATCGCTCGCGGTCCCCGCGCGGCGAGATCCGCGAGCGTCGCCCCGTCCGCGTCGCCGCGACGCCAACGAATACACGCGCGCGCAGTGCCTTTTTTCAAACCGTCCTCCGTCGCTCTCTTCCCGCGCGTTCCCGTCCACCGAGCTCACCGCCCCTCCCCCCCGCGCGCGCGTCCGCCGCTCGCGTCCTCCTCCCGCCCGCGCACGCAGGCTCCTGAAAGTCGAGCACGTCGAGGAGGACGGCAAGGCGATGCTCTACCTCGTCTTTGAGTACCTCGATCAGGATCTGAAAAACTTCATGGATCTCACCGGGCGCGGCCCGGCGAACCCGCTCGCGAAGAGCGTCGTCCAGGACTTCATGTACCAGCTGTGCTTAGGCTGCGCGCACTTACACCGCCACGGCGTCATGCACCGCGACCTCAAACCGCAGAACCTTCTCGTGGACAAGGCGAAGAACGTCATCAAGGTGGCGGACCTCGGGCTCGGCCGCGCGTTTTCCGTCCCGGTCAAGTCGTACACGCACGAGATCGTGACGCTGTGGTACCGCGCCCCGGAGGTTCTCCTCGGCGGGTCGCACTACTCCACGCCCGTGGACATCTGGTCCGTCGGTTGCATCTTCGCGGAGCTCGCGCGGAAGCAGCCGCTCTTCCCGGGCGACTCGGAACTCCAGCAGCTCTTGCACGTCTTCAAGCTTCTCGGGACGCCTTCGGAGGAGACGTGGCCGGGCGTCACGCGGCTTCGCGACTGGCACGAGTTTCCGCAGTGGCAGGCGCAGGACCTGAGCAAGGTGATCCCGCAGCTCGACGCGCACGGGATCGACCTGATGAAGAAGATGCTCGTGTACGACCCGGCGAAGCGCATACACGCGACGGAGGCGTTGGAACACCCGTACTTTGACTCGTTGGACAAGTCGAGGTACGCGAAGATCGAGGCGTCGTTCGAGAAGGAGAACAGGAAGGCGAACTGAGATGACATCATGACGTGCTGCCGCCGCGCCGCGCGCGCGCGCGATACCCTTAGAGGCGACGATTGGTGTCGATGGACGCGTGACGTTTCGGGGGCGAGCGTTTGGGTTGGTTTGGACGGGACGGGAAGAGGACTGGACGGCTCGACGCGACGACGGTGAAAACGGAGACGGGCGCGGCGGCGGCGGCGGCGGCGGCGGGGCGGCGCGCCCGGCGGGGAGGGTCGGGACGACGGGGTTGGGTTGGGGTTGAGGCGATGTACTC